TTATCTATCTATTGATCCATCTATCTCTTATCATCTCCTCTCTTCTTCTTCAGTATTCTTTTCCCACCCCCCTTATGTGGCTCCTCTTCTACACTTTCCCCATCTGTGTCCCCCCAGGAGAGGAGAACCAGCCCGGCTGGCTGTGCCCTGAAGAAGAGAAGAAGACAAAGATCCCGTTCTGGTCGCCAACTCTGGTCTGTCGTCTCCCGGCGTTCTCCACCAAAGCCTCTGACTTGCAGGTAAGCCTTTGCATGGTCATTAGATGGTCTCGGGGGCTTTAGATGGTCTCAGGGTCATTAGAGGGTCTCGGGGTCGTTAGAGGGTCTCGGAGTCGGGGTCATTAGATGGTCTTGGAGTCGGGGTCATTAGATGGTCTCGGAGTCGGGGTCATTAGATGGTCTCGGAGTCGGGGTCATTAGATGGAGTCGGGGTCATTAGATGGTCTCGGAGTCGGGGTCACACTGTAGGCTACAAAGGTGATGTTTCTTTGGACTTGTGAGACCACAAGGCACATTTTGATCTCGGGACGATACATTGTAGAAATGTCTTCCACTTTTTGCATTCACGTTCCTGTGGCTGAGCAGACGGCAATGGGAAATCGGCAACTCTTTCCCTGCAAATGACAGACATTGACACCGGGATCGTCTCGGGTCAGACAGGTTTTTTATAAATGGCGGCACAAAGAATAGAATGACCTGCTGAGACATGTTCCCTTGCTATGTATGATCGTTCTGTGAATCCGGAGGATGAAGATCATGGGCACCGTATAAGGTGTACGCAGACTCCGGCTGGTCAGGTTCAGATCCCCGACTAGGTTAAATCTTCCTTTCATCATCTTAAAAGGGAGGAAATGAATGCAGATTGTAATTGCTACACAGTGGCCAATCTTCCATAATGTGAAGTAAATTGGATAGCGGGGGATGGGGACGTGACTGGGGGCTTCTGATGGACAATGTCTGGGCCATTAGAAGTGCTCAGGGGTCCTCCACCTTGGTGAGACCTGGGAAAGTCTTCTGGATGGGGCTGGGGGTCACTGTGAGGGTGGATGAGGGTTAGGGGACTCTGCCATAGACTTGGTTGCCCTGTGAAGGATGAGAGGTGCTGTTGGGGGCAACTGTGGAGATGTGGTCTCTGGAGGGGGCTGGGGGCTTTGGCAGACTGGATATCGCTGTGGGAGGATGGGGCCACTGTGCAAAGTGGGTGGGGGGGACTGCTGGCCACTGTGGGAGGTTGGGGACACTTGGAGGGATGGAGACTTTGCACAGGCTGAGAGGATATGTGGGAGATTGAGAGCATTGTGGGAGGCTGGGGGGGTCATTGTGGGAGGTTGGGGTCTCATTGGGAACCTGGGGGTATCCTGCAACCCACTATGGGAGTTTAAAAGCATTGTGGGAGATTAGGGGACTAGTAGCTGCCTGGAGGTTCTACGGAAGGGGCAACCTCGGCACTTTAGCTGTAGTGCAACAACAACTCCCATGATGCATTGCAAAACTAACAGCCACAGGCATGGCTCCCAGAGGCAGAGGTATGATGGGGTAGGGAGTCTGAGCACAGCTGAAGTGCCGAGGTTGCTTCTCCTACTCTACAGACTCCGTTCCTCCCCGGATCTGACCTGCTGGTCATGTGACCACAGCAATTCCTCTTCTCCATGACTGTCTCCAGGACATAACCCGCCTTTCATTCAGTCTGATTGATCTTCTGTTATCTCTGTTCTGGTTGCAGTTGGGCGGAGCCATTCACACTCCTGTACAAAACTTCCTCCTGGGATTCTCCTCCGTCAGTACGTCACTTCCTCAGGGCTACTTATGGGTAAGTTACACATCCCTGTGCTGAGTTCCCGGGTCTGTACACCTGCTGTGCCCATTATGAGGGCCCCCCCCCCATCCCTGGTGGGGTTTCCGGCTCTAATAGATCTAGCCCTCTTATGGCTCATGTACATTATTGATACATTTGTGTTACTTTGTATATAAATAAAGAAGGAAATTGCTGTTTTGGATTCTCTGATCTCCATGTTGTGAGCCGGGCAGTGCAGGTGGTCACCAGGTCTCTGGTCTCTCTCGGCAGGTCGGAGGGGGTCAGGAAGGAGGGGTAGGCCAAATCCAGATCTTCTCCCTGAACCACACCTCCCCGCGGATGCTGAAGGCATTCCCTCTGCCATCCTGCGTCCTGTGCGTGGAGAACGTGTGCGCCAAGGAGGGCGAGGAGAGCGAGGAAAAGGAAGAGGATTGTACGTTTGCGCCTGTGCAGCCGGCGGTGTGTGTGGGCCTTCAGGACGGGAGGTAAGAGAGATCACCGCACCTCCCTGTATGATGTCACCGGAATATGGGCCAATCACTTTTCTGCATTTTTTTTATATATGGTAATATCCGGGTTTGCAAAAAGGTTTGACGCACACAGAGGGTATTTATATCCTTTTAGCTATTGAGGAATATATTTCAATGAGAGTGTTTGTGCCCGGAGTCCAGAGTACTCGAATCTATCAGATAGGCAACCCGATGGGCTTGCATGACAGGGTGACAACCGTGCTGCTAATTGCTATGCAGTGGCTTTTGAGTTGTCAGCCTGCAATAGGAAGTGCTGTTTCCTGGCAGGATCAGGAAGTTGCGGGGGATGGGTATCTTCTTCTATTATATTCATATACAGTTTGTTCCGTGATCGCGGACGGTGCGTGTCTGTAGGTAGGTTTAGTCTGCCGCTCCCGGAGCACAGCGGAATCCGATCGGCGCTCTCCCGTCGCCACGATCGGTTTATCATCTCCTTCCAGGCAGGTATATGAGTTTGTATCAGGATGTATAACAGCGATGTTGCGATGAATAATAAATGAGGACTGCGTTGTACCGCTTGGGAGGGGGGAGGGGAACCCGTGCGCAGTTTTTACAGAGTTTGATATATTTACGTCTCCCGACAGATGAGACTGATTCCTCCTCCGCTATACGCGCGGCGTGACAGGCCCTCCGAACGCCCACCCTCCTCCCGTAACCGCCATCTTTTCTCTTCCAGCATTCTGGTGTACAGCAGCGTAGACACCGGATCCACCTGTCTGATGGCGCTCCGGAGTCCCGGCCTACAGCCCGTCCTCTGCCTGAGACTGAGCTGCACACACCTGTGTGCCGGGCTGCAAGATGGCACGTTGGCGCTGTACCCGCAGAACCCAGGTGAGACCTCAACCCTGCGCACCTAGCGCCAACCGAAATATCGGCACTTAGAGGAGAACTCGGGTCTGATTATATTAAAGCAGATCTAAAGCTCATTTTGGTTTGGTGGTCCACTGCTGAAACCCTTATCAGGTTCTTTTATTGCCCTCGCTGGGAGGTTTCACCTTTTGCTACTTGTTTTGGTGACAACAGAAAGTGATCAGAGAAATAAGCTGTCACCAGAACAGGAGGTGAGGGGAAATCCAAGAGGGGATCTCACTTTCCGGAGAAGTCCACTCACTTCCTGTTGTGTCTACGGGACAGGAAACAAAGGGAAGTGGTCCCTATTCCATCCATAATTCCATGGTTTGTGCTATACACTGATATGTGGCCAATAGTTTGTGGACCCCGGACCCTCACTTCTTTGTGATCTCGTTGGACATCCCATTACGAAATCATGGCTATTAATATGGAGTTCCCCCTTCTGAGATGTTTTTTGAGAAGTTCTGACATGATGTGAGGGAGCATGGAGCCGGCTTCCCAGCCAATCAGGAAGCTGGGCGTCGTGTAATGACTGGCTGCCTGGCTTCCTGATTGGCTAGAAAGCTGGTTCCATGGACCCAAGGAAAAAAACTCATAAATCATGTAGCACTCCCTACCGGAAATCCCCAAAAAAGTAGGTGGGTGCTTGAAATGACAGCGGATGGCGCTGCACACAAAACAGCTTAAAATGTAGATGTCACCCGCAAACTGGCACGACAGAAGCTCGCAAGTCAATGCAAATCCATTTATTAATAGATGTCACTCAGGATAAAAGGGTGGGAGTGCCTGTGGAACTTTGTGCACATTCGTAAGGTCAGGTACTGATTTTTGATTGAAAAATATACTTTATTAATGTAATAAAATATACAAAAACAAGCTATACAATCGGGGTACATTCAACCTCGTACTGCGACGCAGCGCATAAACACCAGATAGCAATACAGCTCAATCACACAATAAATTACATTCGCACTGCGGCGAGATGCCTGACGTGTAGCGCAAGACAAGAGTCCTGAGCCCTCCACGTCATTCATGACACCGCATTACCCCGTACTAAGTCTGTGGTCCGTAGGATCCACATCAAATACCTTCAAAATAGAACGTCAATAAACCTTGCGGCGCAATGTAAAATCACCGCCCAGGATTACTGCTCTGGTTGTGGCGAGCTGGGTCCGCAGGGTCTGGAAAAGCTCCAGTCGCGCATTCTTGTCCGGGAGGTCAGGTACTGATGTTGGATGAGATGACCGGGCTCATTATCAGCTTTCCTCTTCATCCCAAAGGTGTTCAGTAGGGTTGAGGTCAGGAATCGGGGTCGTAGTGGAACAGAAAAGGGTCTTCACCAAACCTACCACAAGGTTGGAAGAGCTCAATTGTCCACAATGTCTTTGTATGATGGAGTATTAACAGAGCCTTCACTGGAGGCACCTGAACTCCATCATTGGAGGGAGGTCTACATACTTTAGGCCATAACATGTAATACTTTAACTGATCTCTCTGCCTCCTCCCAGGTGGATTATGGGATCCCGAAAACCCCTCCACCGTGCGGGTAGGAACAAGCCCTGTCCACGCCCTGCTTGCCCTGGATGACTGCATATGGGCCAGCTGCCGCAATCGAGTGACCGTGCTGGAGACGGAGCTCCTCAAGGTCCAGGTAAGTCCGATGGCACTGTTTTTGGTTGGGTGTCAGTCTGGAGGAGTGGGCGTTCCTAGGCAGGCTGTATTTGCATAGCCAACGCGCACATGTCATGCTGGGCCTCCATCCCTTGTTTTGATGCTCCTGGAATGTATTTAGCTCATTTAAACCAAGGGTTTTATTGGGCTTTAATGCAGTTTGTTTCCAGGCAGCTGAGCCCCCACCAATGGTTTCTGCAGGTCCCGAGCCATTGTTTGGTGGTCACAGCCATAGAACGCGCTTCCATTTATAAACGCCATCTCAGCGCTGTACTGAACTGGTGGCATTCCAGAAGCTTATCAGAAGTAAACAGAGTAGAGTCAGCCAGGTCGTGTGCATTGACTGCGGCTCACCCCCCACCCCCCCAGTCCTCCCGGGAAATTGGTTGTAGCGCCTGCGTCATGCTTAGTAACCTGGGCCTCGGAATGGCGCTCTGCTCCATTGAGTTTGCTCGTCGCTGTGCCTGGTAATGACATAGTGGCAGTTTATTGCAGGAAGAATTGTAACCGTAATTTAATTACAACTATTGATTAACAGAGGGAGGGGGGCGAAAATTAATTAGTCTTCGCCTGGAATTTCTTCCTCGGCTCTTGATTCCATGCCCCGGAGGGGAGCTTGTTGGTTAAGTCCATCCAGTTCGGCGTGGAGCGGTTCTCCTGCCCTGCGACAAGAAGAAAGAAATCATGAATGCATTTCTACGAGTACAATCCCACTGAATGCAGAGACCATAGCGTCCACAAGGGGGCGATATCACAAGCAGAAGTCTGGTGGGGTAACGCTGAGATTGGCATTATTGGTGGCATTGTCAGCAGGAAATTTTCCCCAATGGGGTCACAGACTATTTTCCACTGCATCTGATCTCTCTCATGTGACCCGGACTAGATCCATCAGGTGATAACTTATTGCTGAGGTTCCCAGGTATAACCTTGGATGTCTGGCCCACCCAAGCATGCAGAGTCAGCTCATATAGGGTAAAACTATAGCGGTCAGATGGTATGTTCAGGTCTGATTGATCTTTCACCCCAGGATTGGTGGTCTGGGACTGTCTGTAGACATGAAATTGCCACTCAATCCAGCGGTCATAGGTTGGTGTGTACTGTTGTACCCTTTACCCCGTATTTCCTCCATGTCGCCTCTCATTCCTTCTTTCGCAGAATTTCGAGGCCATTCAGGATGAGGGGGTTCGTGTTACTCACATGATAAGAGCCGGCGGAGGGGTGTGGATGGCGTTCTCGGAGGGCTCATCGATACGTCTCTTCCACACCGAAACTCTGGAACTTCTGCAAGAAATAAACATTTCTACTCGCACCTTGTCACTGCCAGGTAATGGTTTAGTCTTGTCATTGTAATTGCCGGGTAATGCCTGGGACTTGCCTCTGTCATTGCCGGGTAATGCCTGGGACTTGCCTCTGTCATTGTCGGGTAATGCCTGGGACTTGCCTCTGTCATTGTCGGGTAATGCCTGGGACTTGCCTCTGTCATTGTCGGGTAATGCCTGGGACTTGCCTCTGTCATTGTCGGGTAATGCCTGGGACTTGCCTCTGTCATTGTCGGGTAATGCCTGGGACTTGCCTCTGTCATTGTCGGGTAATGCCTGGGACTTGCCTCTGTCATTGTCGGGTAATGCCTGGGACTTGCCTCTGTCATTGTCGGGTAATGCCTGGGACTTGCCTCTGTCATTGTCGGGTAATGCCTGGGACTTGCCTCTGTCATTGTCGGGTAATGCCTGGGACTTGCCTCTGTCATTGTCGGGTAATGCCTGGGACTTGCCTCTGTCATTGTCGGGTAATGCCTGGGACTTGCCTCTGTCATTGTCGGGTAATGCCTGGGACTTGCCTCTGTCATTGTCGGGTAATGCCTGGGACTTGCCTCTGTCATTGTCGGGTAATGCCTGGGACTTGCCTCTGTCATTGTCGGGTAATGCCTGGGACTTGCCTCTGTCATTGTCGGGTAATGCCTGGGACTTGCCTCTGTCATTGTCGGGTAATGCCTGGGACTTGCCTCTGTCATTGTCGGGTAATGCCTGGGACTTGCCTCTGTCATTGTCGGGTAATGCCTGGGACTTGCCTCTGTCATTGTCGGGTAATGCCTGGGACTTGCCTCTGTCATTGTCGGGTAATGCCTGGGACTTGCCTCTGTCATTGTCGGGTAATGCCTGGGACTTGCCTCTGTCATTGTCGGGTAATGCCTGGGACTTGCCTCTGTCATTGTCGGGTAATGCCTGGGACTTGCCTCTGTCATTGTCGGGTAATGCCTGGGACTTGCCTCTGTCATTGTCGGGTAATGCCTGGGACTTGCCTCTGTCATTGTCGGGTAATGCCTGGGACTTGCCTCTGTCATTGTCGGGTAATGCCTGGGACTTGCCTCTGTCATTGTCGGGTAATGCCTGGGACTTGCCTCTGTCATTGTCGGGTAATGCCTGGGACTTGCCTCTGTCATTGTCGGGTAATGCCTGGGACTTGCCTCTGTCATTGTCGGGTAATGCCTGGGACTTGCCTCTGTCATTGTCGGGTAATGCCTGGGACTTGCCTCTGTCATTGTCGGGTAATGCCTGGGACTTGCCTCTGTCATTGTCGGGTAATGCCTGGGACTTGCCTCTGTCATTGTCGGGTAATGCCTGGGACTTGCCTCTGTCATTGTCGGGTAATGCCTGGGACTTGCCTCTGTCATTGTCGGGTAATGCCTGGGACTTGCCTCTGTCATTGTCGGGTAATGCCTGGGACTTGCCTCTGTCATTGTCGGGTAATGCCTGGGACTTGCCTCTGTCATTGTCGGGTAATGCCTGGGACTTGCCTCTGTCATTGTCGGGTAATGCCTGGGACTTGCCTCTGTCACTGCCGGGTAATGCCTGGGACTAGCCTCTGTCATTGCCGGGTAATGCCTGGGACTTGCTGGTTAAAAAGAGAAAGTCTTGGGACTCCAGGCGGTCATTGCTCCTCAGTCTGCATCATATATGTCAATTTTTATTTTTCCACTATACATTCATTAGGTTGATATTTGTGGCCCCTTTTGTGGGTCCATAGCCAGCAGATCCCCTGCGATCGGCCCGCTGCCTATAGAGAGGAGTCTTCGGGTGACCTGAGCAGAAATAAAACACTTTCTCAGTCCTGTGATCCCTGGGAAGGGAGTCAGTTCATGACTTGGGAGGAAGCGGAAGGGTTACTTTGCACTGGCCCCTCTGCCAGTACGGTAGCGGGTGCACAGAGCGGGGCCCCCAGGTGCGTCGGTGCTCCGCTATTAAGCAGATGTTATGTCTCCACAGCAGAGAATAGATAATTAGTGGAGATGAGATGTCAGAGCGCGGCTGATGGGCCAGCTTGATGTCTGTCCCGGGGTTGCTTGTCAAGCTGGATGTTTAGGATATGGAGTGTGCAGCTAACGATACAGTACAGATTGGACCGGGGCCCCTCTCCCTGGCTCCAGCCTGGAGACAATCAGCGAGCGTCAGACATAATCCGAGCTGACACCCTCAACATGTTAATCCCCGGCAGGAAGCGAGCGCCTTTTTTTTTTTTTTCTTCTGATGGAAGACGATAACTCGACTACAAGGTGCAGCAGGTCAAAGACGGCTTTGTAGTTCCTTCTGTCTCTGCCCCCCCCCAACCTCATCCCCCCCCATATCCTCTCTCTCTCTCTCTCCACAGGGCAGAAGAACCCCCGAGTCACCACCCTGATGATATGCCAAGGCTTGCTGTGGGTGGGCACCGACCTCGGCATCCTGATCACATTACCTGTGCCAAAGTTGGAGGGCATCCCCAAAATTACAGGTAGGTGTCTGACTGCTGTGCTACACACTACGGCCACATTGGTGAGATTTTTCATCACTTCCTGTCTCTCCGACACCTTGGTAACAGGAAGTGAGATTAAAACCAGAGGGGCATAGACAGCAATGGTCCAAGCAGTTGTACATTGTGTTGCTTCATAGTCCACCCCCCACTCCCCGTTAGCTTTCTACTACATTAAGTACATCTGCTCATTTACATGCCGGGGGAAGTACTTTTGGCCCACTTAGATATAAGCGCTGCAGGTCTCATACATTCCACTATGGATGTGGCTCTTCCCCCATTTCCTCCTGGCCATTCACAAAACGCACACCCCCTAGGCTTTGACAGGGGCTCCAACCTTTCTCCATTCTGGAGTTGACCTCTGATGACTACTAGTTTCCCTGCATATCCAATCCCCCTATTCATGAGTCATCTGCAACCTTTTAAAGTGGACCTGTATCTCCACCCCCCCACCCCCCTAAATTCTTCTCCTTGCCACTTCTGGTTACATGGCCAACAGCCAGCCCATTGCCCATGTGGTCTCTGATGAAGGAGGAGGATCGGAGTTCTGGCAAATTGCTTACCTAAATGCTACCCCCTCCCACCTTTGGCTGAGCTGGCATGACTAATGGTCTGGCATTTGGTCATGTGACTGGCAGCATTAGGTAGAAAAGTTCAAGTATTCCGGGGTAAAGGTATTTC